TTGCTCTCTGATCAGCATGATGCTGGCTCCCGAGGGCACCTGGCCACGTGCTTTCCTTTTCCATGTTCTGGAAGATGTTGTCTGCAATTTTATTCTTTTTCTTTAAGTGCTTGGAAGAACTCACAGCGAGGTCATAAAGCCATGGAGCGTTCATGGGAGCAAACGTTCTTAACTCTGGCCCAGATTGCGTTATGCACACAGGCCTGTTCAGCTTAGCCTTTCTTGACCAGTTTACGTCTGTCCAGAAATGTCTCCTCCTCACCTAAGCTGCTGAAATGATTGCAGTTTTCCCTCACTGACCTTCTACTACCTGCACAACCTGGTCTGGTGTCCTGTTTCTCATACCGGGTAGAGGCAATTTGGGCCCTTCTCCTTTGGCTCTGCTCTGTCTGTGGAGAGGCTTATCAATTTTATTCATCTCATAAATCAGCTTTTGAATTCTACCTCCACTTAAAAAGAAAAATCAACTTTTGGTTTCACCCTTTCCTTCCTTTTTCGCTTGTTTTTCTGCTTCCTCCTTCCCTGCCTCTGCTCCGTTCTTTCTGATTTCCTCTCCTTCCCAGAAGCACGTGTGGGAAGCCTGCTCCGGCACACATTCCTGTTGGCTTTCCAAGTCGTTCCACAGAGCCTCTCTAACGCAGTAAATCAAGGAAATGAAACCTTTGTCTAAACACCACAAAATGTCCTCTTAGAAAGACTGTTTTGGTGATATATGGCAACAATCATGTTACAATGAAACAAGTCAGATGTGTAAGTTCATCAGGACGAGGCGGCCTGTGTGAGCGTGGCAGCAGCTGCCCCTCCGCGAAGCGAGGCGGTGGGGGACGAGGCGGTGGGGGACGGTGCCGGCCCCTCCACCCTCCTCTGCAGTTTCTGTCTTGGAGACGTGCAGCCAGAAATCTCCTTGCGAGCAGGAATGTGGAGACTTCCTCTCACATACTTTGGGCATGTTATCAGGAGGGGCTGGGCCACAGAGAAGGATATAGTGTTTGACCATGTAAAACAGGCCAGCAAAAGAGAGCGAGTCCCTCAACAATGTGGACTGACCCAACGGCTAGTGTACAAAAGGCTCGGGTGGGCAGAACCCAGCAAGGTTTACTCTTGCACATGGGCCCACTGTGAGTAGGACCTGGAGTTGATTCCATAGCATCTAACTTAACAAGCATACACTCCTTTGATAATCAGGAAATAAAGCCCCTCTTGAAATGGGAGAGCGCACACTTTTTTTTTTACCATTAGGGGGTGGGTGGGTGGGAAAATCTCTGGGCGAAGGCCCTGTGCTGAAGCATGGGGACAGGGAAGGTAATCCGTGGCTGGGAGGACACAGCAGGGCCACCCTGCCATGAGTGCGGCTGAGCTTCTCCACAGGGCCTGGAGGGGGCTCGGAATTGCTGCCTGGACCTCCATCACAGGTGGGCATGTCCATGCTCCAGTGTCACAGAGAGGCCTTCACAGAGGCAGAAGGGAGGAGGGGGTGGCAACGTTATCAGCTGAAGCAGTGACAGAGTGGATGACAGCCAGAGCGGGAGGGACAGACGGGAAGAGACAGAAACAAGAGGCTGTGTGGAGGGTCAGGGTGCTGACCTGAGGGCTCGGAGCAGCCCAAGGAGCCCCCTCTGCCACACCCCAGTGTCCACGCATGCTGGTGAAGGGAAATTGCTAGGAGTAGCACAGGGAGGTAGTGTTGGACAAAATAAAACATGGGCAGTGAGGACCACTAGTCAAGAAAGGCAACAGCACTTCACCAAAGATGACATTCAGATGGCAAACAAGCACATGGAGAAACGTACAAAATCCCTAGCTATCAGAGAGATGCAAATCAAAACAACTATGAGATACCATCTCAGAAAGCACTAATAGCAGAGTTCAACAGGGCAGCAAACAATAATTGCTGGCGAGGTTGTGGTTAGATTGGGACCCTTATTCCTGCTGGTGGAAGTGTAAAACGGTACAACCACTATGGATGGTGGACTAGTGTATTGTAAAATAGCTGGAAATAGAAATACCATTTGATTCAGCATTTCCACTACTGGGAATACACCCTAAAAAAGCCGTAAGTGCCACCCAAACAGATGTATGCGCACCCATGTCTATTGCTGCTTCATTCACAATAGCAAAGGGATGGAAGCAACCCAAGTGCCCATCAGCAAATGAATGGATTTTAAAAAAAACAACAACAAATGACTGGATAGAAAAACTATGGTACACAATGGAATATTACACAGCTTTAAAAAACAAGGAACTCATAAAACATTATACAAGATGGGGGAACCTGGAAGACATTATGCTGAGTGAAATATCTCAGTCACAAAAGGACAAATACTGCATAACACCACTGTTAGGACAGACATGGGAGCGTTTGGAAGAGATGAGGGGAAGAAATGCCTGAAATGAATATATTAGACATTTTATGTATGACAACAATCTGAAACACAGAGTGCATTGCGGGGGGCGGGGAGGAGAGAGGGGGAGTAAGAAAATGTTCAACAAGAAAGGCAACAGTCTTCAACATGATGTTAGTGAGTCACACTCGTGACAGAAGACACAAGCCGTCAGATTGAAGAAGCAGATTCCAGGCAGGGCGGACAGAAACAGTCCACCTCCCAGGCCTGTGGAGTGGGACCTCGAGCACAAAAGTCAAAGAGAAGGTGTTGGAAGTCACGAGAGCAGTGAGGGTCCTCCACAAAGGGACACACTGCCCAAGGCCAGCACACAGTGGCAGCCCGGCTGCCCACAGAGCGTTCACATCAACACATCCAAGTACAACTTCCCCACAGCTGAACTGCTACTCAGGAGCCAAGGCCAGCAAAACCAGCCAGGTAAGAGGGCACACACACATCAACAGACTTCAGGAAGAAGCAGGTCTGAAACAACTCTGAGATATCATCTCACCCCGAGAACAACAGTAAAGTTCAACAGGGCAGCAAACAGAAAATGCTGGCAAGGTTGTGGAGAGACTGGAACTCTTAGTCACTGTTGGTGGGAGTGTAAAATGGTGCAACCACTATGAAAGGCAGTATGATGCTTTCTCAAAAAGTTGGAAATAGAGATACCATTTGACCCAGCATTTCCACTATTGGGAATATTCCCTAAAGAAACCAGGACTGCCACTCAGGCAGATTATCTGCACACCCATGTTAATTGCTGCATTGTTCACAATAGCAAAGAGATGGAAGCAACCCAAATGCCCATCATCAAATGAATGGATAAAGAAGTTGTGTTATATTCACACAATGGAATACTACACAGCACCGAAAAACAAGGAACTCATAAAATATTATACAAACTGGGTGACCTTGGAGGACATTATGCTAAGTGAAATATTTCATTCACACAAGGACAAATACAGCATAAAGCTACTGTTGTAAAACAGACTGACATGGGGGTTGGGGACAAACTAAGAAAAGAGGGATAAATTATGAACACTGCATTTAAATAGATGAGGGAAATAACTGTCTAAAAGAAATATATGATTAGGTATTTGCATCACAACTGTGCAGAATAAGAAGGGCATAGTAAAGTGGGCTGAGGAGTGGGATTGGAGGGAGAGAGGAAATTGTGTAACAATGAATGAATGGAAATCCAAGTTTTCGATACATTTTCTTTACAATATCAATTAAAAAAGTAATAACACAAAAATGAAGAAGTGGGTCTGGTGGAAGGCAGAGAGACACAGAGGCTGAAGGTACATCTCTAGATTCAGGTGAGCAGTCACATGGCAGGGCCTAATTAGATCTTTGAAAAGAAAAACAAAAGTGTGGGGAACAAGGATCCTTGATACAAGAAGACAGGAGGCTTTGAGCATACTGAGGGGTTCAGGAGGGGCTCACTTCAGGTCTCAGAGCTGGGAGTCACCGAGAGCAGGAGTGCAGGACTGAACTGCAGGGGGCATAATGGTGGGGAGAGTGCTGGGCTGAGTACCAGGGCCAGGCACGGAGGGGGCACCCCAGGTGAGCCAGGGTCACGTCCAGCTGTCCCGGGCAGTGCACATGCTCTTATGCACACACCACCCCCATCTCCTCCTCAGGTCTGTATGGACTGATACACAGGCAGGGTGCCTCCGCTCTGACCATCAGGTGAAGCCGAGATCACAGTCAAGCGAGTCCCACATGCCATTCAACTCCTCAGGGCACAGGAGCCGGCCAACCTCTGTGGCAGCCTGTGATGCGTGCCCTAGGCGGAGCCTCGGCCCCTCAAGATTGCTTGGTACAAGGTTGTCACAACCCTCCAATCTTTTACAACATCTGCAAAGCAACACAGAACGAGGTGTGCCTGCACTGTAGCATCTGCTTCAAGTGCTTCATGCCGTGCGATGGCACCGACCTCCAGGTCTCGCCTCTCCTTCCTCATGACGCCCAGAGCTCTGATCACAGTAACACCCTGCACTGCTCTCCCAGGCCTCTCCGGCCCACACCCAGGATGGCCCCCTGAACCCTTGGGGCCCCCCACGCCCCCCACTGTGTCTTCACAGGGGTCCCTGGTGCCCCAGACAGTGAATACCCTAATCTCAACCTTGAAAGTGAAAGTTGAAATTCACACAGATGTGACTCGGAGGAAGCCCCCCCCCCCCCCGCAATCCACTAGCAAAACATCAGCCCCTGGGAGCTCCTCAGACCTCGGATCTACTGTGATATTCACAGGGGTGCTGATTATTTGGGGCCATCTCCAAGCAACAGACGTCTGCCCTGCCCCCGCCCTTCAGAAGACTCAGGCTGAACCACAGTCAGCCTTCGGACCAAGACACAAGGCGACATTTACAGTGGAACAATTGTCACACACACACACACACACACACACACACACACACACACACACACACGACGTCTGCTGTGTTCTCCTGGGAAGAAGCGGCTGCCCCGTCCAGCTGTGTGGAGGAAGCTGGGGCTGTAAACAGCTGGTCCCCAGAGAACGAATCGACTCTGTCCCCCGAGACTCCGGGGAGAAGTGGGGTCCCTCTAGTCTGTCAGGGCTAGCCCTTCCCACCAAGGTGGGCTGCTCACCAGCGCTGTCACAGCCATCGAGGGAGATGTGGTCAGCCCTGCGGTCCTCAGTGGCCGGGTCGCAGGTGATGTGCGGGACCGTGAGCATCTTCTCTCCGGAACTCACCCCGTTATCCCGCTCCAGCTTGAATTTCTTCTTCTTGACCTGAAAGCAGGCAGCAGATGGGCACCTGGTACCCTGGCCTCACACCCTAGTGCAGGGTAGGGCCTGAGGTCCCGGTCCCTGAGGGAAGACAGATGGCTCAATAGCAGGTGGCCAGGTAGGACCAGAGCAGACTCGGGCTCAGAGGCTCCAAGGGCAGCTGGACACCAGGGACCTCAGACCCTCTGGGGAAGATGCCTGCTGAGGTCCCTTCGTCCCAGCTCCTGACCTGCACACAACTGACTGGTCTCTTGCTCCCTGGCCTCTACACACTTGTGGGAAGCTGGCACTCAGACCACTTCAGTCTGGGGTCACTTACCATGACGGACTTCTTGGGCTTGGGGCTGGGGGACAGCAGAGCATGACTGCGGGGGGGTTTCCGCACATAGATCTTCCAGGTTGACGACTCGGGGTTCTCGGCCGCGTAACACCTCCATGCGGTCTGGGTCAAGCAGAGGTGGATGTCAGCATGGGACCCCAAGGAACACACTGTGGGCATCATGGGGTGGCAGGGACCCCAGAGTGTCACCCTCAGGGCCCCTCCATTCGTGTGCTGGCTCTGTGCCCCTGGCTCCAGCCCACCCCACCCCCTCCCCACTCTCAAGGAGGACAGGGAGGCAGCGTTAGAGGCAGGGACCAAGGTGGTCATCAGGTCCCCACCTCATCCCTTGGCTATGACTCTCAAAGGGCTATGCTGGGGTTCAGGGTGTCCTCCCCTACACGCACCTGCCCCTGTGAGCAGAAACTCAACCGGTGTGTCCTCTGCCCACAGAGTCTGGGGGGACTGAGTGGTCAGATACTTGCTGGTGGCCTAAGTCTAGTGTGGGAGCCTGTCGTGAGAGGATGGCCAGTGGGAGAGCTGGTCACTGAGGGCAGCACGTGAGCTGGTGAGGGAGCCTGTCGTGAGGGGATGGGCTGTGGGAGAGCTGGTCACTGAGGGCAGCACGTGAGCTGGTGAGGGAGCCTGTCGTGAGGGGATGGGCTGTGGGAGAGCTGGTCACTGAGGGCAGGCCTGTCACACAGGGGACAGCTGGTCACCGGGGGACAGCCGTGTGCAGCACACCTGGATAAGCGAGGCAGCTGCAGGGATCTGTCGGTTGAAGTGCTTCTGCCGCTGCTTCTGCTGGACCTTCAGGGCGAAGCCAGAGCCGAGGATACCCTGGGGGACAGACAAGCTCAGTCCACTCGGGGTGCTCCCCCACTGCCCACAGAAACCCAGGGAGCTGCCCGCACTTGCTGAGCTAACCCCAGGGCGAGACAGGAGGCGGGGACTCTCAGGGACCCCAGGGAGCTGTCCATGAGGGGCCTGGCCTGTCCTCACCACGGGTCCTGCGTAGCGGGGCCGCCTCCGGGTGACCTACCGCTGGGAGAGCGAAGAAGGATATGGCGAAGACGGAGAAGCAGGAGGCGATGGTCTTGCCCACCCAGGTCTGAGGCACCTTGTCCCCATAGCCGATGGTAGTGACCGTGACCTGCAGGGGAGGAGTGACGGTCAGGCCTCAGACCCCTCCACTCACCACAGAGCCCACCCCATCGGACTCAGGGAGGCACAGGAGAGGGGCTTGGGGAACGCATGCCCGGGGCAGTGTCCAGGCCACCAGCACTGTGGCACAGCCCTGGGAGACGGGAGCCCAGAGAGATGGGAGCCCCCGGGGGGGATGACAGTAGAGGCAGGGACAGATGAAACTGTTACTTCCTGACGGCACCCGGGGGGGGGGGTGCCAGATGCATCATCTCCCTTTTCCCCAGACAACACAACATGGCTGACCCTTCTCCTCAGTGGGAAGCCGGCGGGCTCAGGCACCGGCTGAGATGCTGAGTGTGGGCTGTGCCCCCAGCAGTCTCAGCTCCCACATGGGGGCAAGCCCCAGGTGCGGGGGGGGGGCACCCTGCAGGGGTCCAGCCTGCCTGCTTCCAGCCTGCTCCACCTGCTTGGCATCCAGGAGCCACGTCCTGTCCTCGTGTTCACTACTGCCCACTCACCCGGTGGGTGGCAGGATCATACAGGCAAGGCGGCCAGCGACTCAAGTCAGCTCCATAGGGCCAGCCCCCTAGCCCGCCCCGTCCCCCAGCACCCACTCAGCCATGCCATCTCCCCTCCCTGTGGTCAGGATAGAACCTGGTCAGAGTGAGCCTCTTGCTGACCCTCAGAGGCCTCCACCCCACCTGCTGTCCAGGCCAGCGCAGACGTGGGGACCACAGGGGCCCACTTTACATGGGACCTGAAGGCACCACCCCAGCCCTTGCCACCTCTGCTCTCTGCTGGCCACGGGGTGAAGGGAAAAAGGAGGCGTGCAGGTACAAGCAGGCATGTCTCAGGCAGGGGCACAGCCCAGGGCAGGACAGCAAGTCAGGACAGAGTGTGCTGACCGGCTGCGCCATGCACACTGGTCCCAGCAGGGTGCCGCTGCCCACAGCAGACCTCTGCTGCCATGTCCCACACCTGACTGCATGAGCAGGTTCCTGACGTGTCCCTGAGCACAAACACCCCTAGCTCCTGTGCTTGGAGCCAGCAAATGGACCACCCAGGCCCAGTGTGTATGTGGTGGGCTCCCAGGCAGGCCACACGCAGGGACGGGCACCCACACATGGGCATGTGCATGTGCGTGTCTCTCTCTCACACACATGTATACACACACACACTTGGCACAGCATTGTCATCTAAGAATCCTGTTTTCTGAGCCACATGTGCCCACCCTGCACAGGTGACAGCCCCACACAAAGACTAAGCCTGGGCCCCGTGGGAGAGGGTAGACCCTCAGCAGGCCATAGATAAGGGCGTGCAGCGCCATGTGTGTCCCTTATCTGGGGGCTGTGCTCCCCAGCAGAGCCTGCATCCCACATGAGGCCTGGTCCCCGGCTGTCTGTGGTGTGGTGTGCACACGGGGAAGGAGTGAGTCCCAGGCAGAGCCCTCAGTCCCAGGAGCAGTGTTGACACTTGGGGAAGGGCCAGCACGCCCACAGCGACCCTGTCACTTCACAGTCACCCCTGCAACCTGAAGGCGGGTACGGAGCTGAGCCCTGAGCTCTCAGTGAGACCGTCACTCCCTGAAGAGCCAGCATACACTGTATCCCGGATGTCCACTGGCAACCTTCTACTCATCCTCAGAACCTCTCTGGCGAGGCTCAAGGCTACACTGACCCCTCTGTGCTTCCCACCACACCCTCATATGTAGAGTGGGCATCTGGGCAGGGCAGGACCAGCCATGCTCACCTTGATGCCCACTCACCCCGCCTCCCACCCCATCACCAGCTCTGCAAGGGAAGAGAAGGCAAAGCGTGGAGGAGAAAGAGGGGCCAAGGCTGGAGCATGGAGGAGGGGGCACCCTCGAAGGGGGGTGAGCGGGGGAGGGGCCCCGGGGAACAGCCTCATCACAGGAAGCCACAAGGAGACAAAGCTGCCCTGCCAGCTCCCGTTCATCTTACAAAACCCACCCCTTTCGCTGCCCTGTGGGTTCTGACTCACAGTGACCCCACAGAGCAGAGGACGACCCCACGGGGTTTGCAAGGCCATACATCTTTATGAGTGTCAACAGCCACGCATTTCTCCTGCAGGGTGGCTGATGGTTTCAAACTGCAGACCTCTGGGGTAGCAGGTGAATTCTTTAACTACTGTGCCATCAGAGATGCTCCACATCTCACAGGGCCGTGCCTTCAAGATGCCCTCCTCAGGGGCCCCAGCTGGGCTCCTGGTGCCACACTTGGGGACCTGAAAGGTTTCATGGTCAGTCAGGCTGTCCAAAGACATGACACTTGGAGAAGTAGAGGGTTAGCAAAGGAGAGGAAGCTCCTTAGTGAGAGACACAGTGGCCGCCACAGGAGCTTGAGCTGACCACCGGCTGTGGGGCCAGCGCAGGGCAGGTGGACCAGAGCCAACGCAGTGACCACAGGCTGTAGAAACTGAGCCAGGGTGGGGCTATGCCCCCACAAACAACCACGTGTCAGGGGCAGAGGCAGTGCTGGGACCCACAGCACGGGGATCCCTGGGGCGGGACTTTGCCACAAGGGAGGTGGACAAGTACCACTGGGACCTGGGACGATGGGAGCCCCCTGGCCAACAGGTGTGCCAAGTCGTCATCAAACAAGGCAGCCAGCGAGGGCTCCCAAGTTCCGCCTGGAGAGGGCAGAGGTGGCACAGGTGCCCGCAGCAGTCTCAACACCCATTTCAGGGTGTCCTGACCACCCTGGGAAATGGGCTCTGCTCCTGGCCAGCCTCAGTGCCATGTCCTGGGAACCAAGGGAGGCCTGGGGACACCTGACCTGGGCTCGGAGTGACCCACTGCAGGGTTATGCCAACGAAGCCAGCCGGAAGCCCAGTTTCAACCCAACACGACTAACCCATGACTGCAGAGTTAGCTCGGGTTTACAAGCAGCCCGTCTCAGGCCCCAGTTGGCAAATCTGACGGGAGTGGACTCCCCATCCCCCTCCCTCACAGCAGCTGGTGGACTTGAACTGCCAGTCTTTCAGTGAGCAGTGCAACACTCTACACACTGTGCCACCAGGCTGTCTTAAGCCCAGTTTATACGTACGAACACAAGACCAAAGCTCTGTGCTGACTTCCTAAACCTTCTAACATGCTCATCTACTGGGGCCCGTCCTTGGACAGAGGCAAAGCCAGCGCCCTGGAGAAAGAGCAGCCTGTGAGGATGTGACATCGCTGTGTCACCGATGCAAACGTCACACCCCGGCAGAGATGTCACGCTTGGGAAAGCAGAGGGTCATCCAGGGGAGGAAGCCCCCAACAAGCTGCACTGACAGTGTCTGCAAGGATGGACTTGAACATGGACTTGAACATGGGGTAGACTGTGAGATGGTGCGGGCATCTGTTCACAGCGTCGCGGGGAGTCCTCCCTGATGCAACAACACCGGATGACAACAGGCACCAGGCAGAGGGCTGGCTGTCTCCCGGTTTCCGGGACACTTGCGCTCCGTGGCTGCATCTGTGGACGTCTCCCGTGGCTCACTGTCCTTCTGCTGGCTACAGTAATCGTGACTCATGGGTGACTGTGACACCAAACTGTCATCAGGGCTTCTGTCTGGTCTGGTGGGGAGGAGGCCCTGACAGAGGGTCACACGCTGGCTGGCGGGCAGGCCCAGCAGGAACAATGGTGGCAGGCTGTGGGGCTGAAGAGGAGCTGCAGCTGACGGGCCAGCCCCAGTGCCAAGGCCGCACAAAGGAGCCGTGTTCTCGGCCGTGCGCGGATGTTTGCACAGGTGTGGGGAGTGGGAGCATGGTGCCATGGGGGCAGGGGGCAGCCTTGGCTCCACACGGCTCCCTGTGGCTGGGAAAGCCGGCGGGCAGTGCCCGGCATGGGCACTGCTTATCAGCAGGGCCTGGGGTGGGTGCCCACACACTTCCTGCAGCCCCAGCTGGGTAGCCCCCCACTTTCAAGCTCACCACAGCCTCTGGATCTTTCCTGATCCACACGCCTGCCCCCAGCACGTATCCCCTGCCTTCTTCCCAGTCCATCCCACTGCCACTCCAGGGCCTCTGGTGCGGTAGGAGGGTGGAAACTAAAACCAGGCATCTCTGGCCTTGGCAGGGGGGAGTCAGCACTCCCTGCCTCCACTGGACACCTCCAGAACACACATGAGGAAGCCACTGTTGGGGACACGCATGATCAAGACGGTGGGTGGATCCCTGTGTTCCCACCACTCTCTGCTCACACCCACCAGGCCCTGACTGGCCCCTACACTGTGACCCCATGAACTTGAGGGCCCCTCCTCTGGATGCGCTCCTTCACTTGTGGGACAAGGAGGCCCAGGAGGCAACAGGGTCCTAAAGAACATCATGCTTGGAGCATAAGAAAGGTCCGTGACATGAGGAAGACCCTCGGGGAGATGGTCAGAAACGGTGGCTGCTACTTTGGGGTCAGACTCGGCGAGGGTGGTGAGGAAGGGCAGAACCACATGGGGCTGTTCTTTGTGTGGGGGTCACTGTGAGATGGACTTGAGTCCGTGGCACCTGAGAACCACCACCAGGGCTTGGGGTGAAGGGAAACAAGGAGTCAAGAATAAGATTTTGAAGGTTTAAAGATAAAAGTATCAAGATGGTCCCACAGAACATTATCCTTGGGTGTGCTCCCTCCCAGGGACTGAATTACACGGCCCCTTAAATGTGTGTCTGTGTGGCCGGACCATGCCTCTCCTCAGGGATCCTGCGATTTGATGTCATGATCCTTCACATACTAACAGGGCAGGGTGCAATCTGGGATTCCTGGCATCCCCGAGATGTGAGCTTAAAGGAGTAAGCCGAGGAGAAGGGACTTCCTGCCACCAAGAGAGAAAAACTAGGAGTGGATGGTGCCTGGGGGTTGGGGACCCTGTGCTGAGAACCTCCTGACCCAGGGGAGGATGGACAGCAAAGACGCTCTTTCTAAGCTTTGAACTGATGGACAGTGAGCCCTGCCCCGAAGCTGACACACTCCTTTCAGACTTCCAACCCCAACTGTCAGAGAATGCATTGCTGTTTAAAGTCCTCCTTTCCACTTGAGGCATTTGCCACAGAAGCACCAAGAAACTAAGACGATCTTGCCGTGGCCCCAGGTGAGAATGCGGGGGTGTGTTCTGAGCACAGGCCATGGCCGGCCAGGGTCCGCAGTGAGGCAGGCAGCTCAGCCAAGCTGAGTCCCGGGGACAACGACCACAAGGATGGAGTCCCAGGTCCCACTCACCACGCCCCACCACAGTGCATCAGCGTAGCTGCCGAACTCCACACGGCCCGACTCGTTCACAGCATCTTTCTCAGCCAAGTAAACGAAGTAGGAGGAGAAGATGAGGCCCAGGAAGCCAATGTACAGAGTGGTGATCAGCTCCTGAGGGTGAAGGCAGTGGTCAGTCTGCTGATCCCGTGTCCTGGGAGAGCCAGCAGCATCCAGAGGGGCCACTTCTGAGAGAACTCTGAAGCAGAGGCAGCCAGGCAGCCAAAACAAACTTTTACCAGATGGCTGGCATCACATGGGCGTGACACACACAGTCCTGGGGTCTCAAGACACAACCAATGCCAGGCCCAGTGCCCTCTGCTGATCCCCGCCTTCCCTCCTGCTGCCCAGGGACCCCTGTGAGGGAGAGAGGGCCTCCTCCTGGAGCCTGGCTGGCTCGGGGTGGCAGGGTCGGCCACGGAGCCACCCTCTTGGTTGGACTGTGGCTGGGATTTCTGAGCTTCTGGAACGGTGCCTCTGTCACTTCATTTGCCTACTAGCCTTTCATTTGGTCTCAACGAGGAGAGGGCATGTCCCAGCCTGGGCACAGGAGCCTGCTGGGCCAAGGTCCAGGAAGACCCCACGCTGTGCATGGGAGAGGTGGAGGAGGACCCTCCACCTGGGTTCCCCATCTCCACCCCTACAGCTGCCCCTCGCCCTACGGGCCACCCCAATGCCCACCTGGCGGTGGATGAAGACCACAGATCCCAGAAGCCTCCAGGTGCCGCCCTGGCGGTCCACGTGCAGCATTCTCAGGATCTGCAGGAAGCGGATGCCCCTGTGAGGGTGGGACGTGGGGGGTGTGAGGGGGCCTGGGAGAGGGCACCATGCCCGCCTGGACTTCCACCCTGTGTGGTGTGTCTCAATTCTGTTCCCAGCACAACCTCCACCTAGGGAACCCCTCACAGTCTCCTAGCCTCATACTGGCCCTCCTTCCTGCACACTCTGCCTGAGCCCAGGGGCCAGCCACCACTATACATGCACCTCCCATACTCCCAGTGTGTCTAGAGCCAGGGGTCAGTTCGAGCCATGGACAGCAATGCCTAAACCACCCATCCTGTGAGCCTGTGTGGCAGGGAAGGGGGGGCTTAAAAGCAGGGTGTCTCTGGTGAGTAAGCCTGAGTCAGAGAGAAAAGACAAATCATTTCCCCACTGCCCGACTGAGCTGAGGGTGGGATGTCTGGCATCAGGATGAGGGACAAAGCTGGTACAGCCAGACTCTGGGAACTGGGGGCTGAAGGGGTGCTGAGGGGGTGCTGAGGGGCTGGGGGTCCTCAGGCAAAAGAAGCCAGTGACTGGTGAGGAGGGGCCTCCCCTACAGCCAGCTCCCTGCTCCCCCAGTCCTGCCTGTACCCATCCCCGGGGCTCTCTAGTAAAGCTGTCCACAGCCCAGGGTAGAGGGTAGGAAGAGGGCTGCAGCACAGGCAGGCCTACCTGATGGCCGAGGTGGCAAACACCTGTCCCTTGGAGCCCACGCACAGGACCACCATGGAGGCCACAACCACAATGAGGTCTGCAGGGACAGAAAGGTGACTGGTTACAGTGTCACCAGTTCAGGAGACAGGGAGGCTGGTACAGCATGGCTCTGTCCTGTCCAAGGAGCACCAAGGACATCTTGGAGGGGAGACTGAGTAAGGGTCTGGGCTAAGCCCCAGAAGGGTACAAAGGAAGCTGCGTTCCACTCTGGACCCATAAGAAGCGCTGAGCTCCCTCCACGCTAAACCCGGCCTTTAGGCAGCTCCTCAGGATGGAGCCAGAGCCCAGAGGCGTCTAGAGCTGGGCAGAGCAGCCCTAGGTACCAGCAGCTGTGCTAGATTCCTGAGTGGTCACTTGCACTGCCCCAGGCTCTCCCGTATCAGGAGAGCAGCCTGTGGTCAGCACTCCAGCAGGGACTACAGGGTGACCGTGCTGTACGGGTCACCTGCCCAGAGTTCCTGTTCCTGAGAGGTCACGAGAAGTCCCCACCACTGAGGGGTCCAACTCACCGATGATGGAAATGGGCTTCCGGGCGAAGCGCAGCCGCCCCCACACGCCCACGTACTTGCTGCGGCAGCCAGCAGACCAGAGACGCACCACGTACTCCGTACCGAAGAAGACCACCAGGACGATCTCCTGCATGGACAGGGGGGCACTCAGACGGGGGCTGCCACCTCAGATGCACATGGAGAAGGGCACCCCAGAGCCCACTCAGGTAAGGGACCCAGAACCCACTTGCACAGGGAAACCCAGGACCTACTCAGGTAAGGAACCCAAACCCACTCTGACAGGGGACCCCAGAGCCAAATCAGAAAAGGGACTCAAACAACTCAGACAGGAGATGCCAGAAACAATTTAGACAGGGGTCCTCAGAACCATCTCAGATAGGGGTTCCCCAAGCCTACTCAGATGGGATACCAGAACCCACTTCAAAAGGGCATCTGCCACCACAAGAAGATAAAAATAAACAACTGAATTGAAAAGTGGCCACAGGATATGAACAGACACTTCCCTAAAGATGACATTCAAATGGCCAACAAGCACATGAAGAAATGTTCAGAATCCCTAGCTCTAAGAGAGATGCAAATAAAAACAACTATGAAATACCATCTCACCCCAGTCAGAATAGCAAAACTTAACAGAGCAGCAAACAACAAATGCTGGCGAGGTTGCGGAGAAACTGGAACCCTTATTCACTGTTGGTGGGAGTGTAAAATGGTGCAACCACTGTGGAAGGCGGTATGGTGCTTTCTCAAAAAGTTGCAAATAAAAATATCATTTGACCCAGCAATTCCACTACTGGGAATATACCCCAAAGAGACCGTAACTGACATCCAAGCAGATATATGCACACCCACGTTTATCGCGGCTTTGTTCACAATAGCTAAGAGTTGGAAACAACCTAAGTAAGTGCCCATGAACAAACGAACGGATAGAGAAGCTATGGTATATTCACACAATGGAATACTATGCTGCATTGAAAACCAAGGAACTCATAGAATATTGTTCAAAATGGATGACTGTGGAGGAGATTATGCTGCGTGAAATATCTCAGTCACAAAAGGACAAATATTGCATGGTGCCACTGTTGTAAAATGGGACTGACTTCGGGGTTGGGTGGAGACTGAGAAAGATGGGTTCAATAATGTATACTGCATTGAAACAGATGAGGGAGAGAACTGTTGAAAAGGGATATGGCTGTCCGAGGAATTGCAGACATTCTCCAATAGCGACAGCGAGGGTTCTGGCTTCTCCACACATGCAGCAGAACCAGGGTTTCCCCTCTGATAGCCCACACCCTGCTGTTGTTGCTGGCCATGTCGTCTGGCGGGTTTCAGTTTGTAGAGGCCCTGGTCTTGCCCCGTTCTCTCTGTCCGTGCTCTAGCTGAGTCCATTTTTGCAGTAATCATGCACAGTCCTCTCAAGCCTTCCTCTCTGCTGGTCCTGCTTTACCAAGTCTCATGTCCTCGAGGGCCTGGCTTCCCCTGACAACATGGCCAAAGGACGCAAGACACAGTCTGGCCAGTCCTGCTTGAAGGGCACTCTGGCTACACTACTGCCAAGTAGCATCTGTCCATTCTTCTTGCAGTCCACCATGGTCACGAGTCTGCCCATCCCACAGCTGAAGGCCATCAGTTCCGCTTCGGGCCCAACATGTGCTTGACCTCTGGGATGATACCTGGGGGCAGTTCAACTCTGTGTCCACTTCCGACTGTTCCTTGAGGCATTAGACAATGCACCCCAGTCTGTGATAAAGTTGCGATAAATGGGTGCTGATAGGACTGTAGGCACAGAAGTACTGGTCACCGAAGCTGTTATTAATCAGATCTCAGTCCACAGTCCAGGAGAGGGGTGACTGTGTGAACCCTTGACCTCACTGTTGATCTTAGTGGGAACATGAATGCACCTTCGTTTCAAACTTGGCCTTATGCCATCCAGTGCCCTTATCCACTGCCCCTTACCTACATGTCTGTCCACCCTCCATTCTTGCATCTCAGAAATGGTCTCATGGATCTCTAGTTTGTTCAGACCCCTTCCTCATAAAGTTGTCTAGCCACAGACAATGTGTGGAACTCTGAGCTGGAGGCTGGACCACAGAGAGAGTCTTCTGTGGCAGAGCAGCCCAGTATGCATCTTGAGGCTAAATCATAGCCCAGCTTCTGGTAGGAGTCCCCTAGCCTGCTCCTTTGTTGGGAGATGCCCCTGAGGGCCTTTTCTACTGGGGTCTGACCTCTGACCATCTCACCTTTTTACCTTTAGCCTCCTTACCACTCCAGGCTTTGCAACCTCACTCAGTTTCTGAAGCCTGGCAGTTTAGCCATCTCTCTGTCCAGTCTTGCCTGGTCAAGTAATTCACAGAACAGCCAGTCATGGTAGGCAATTCCACTTATTCCAGTGACGTTTCTACAGGGCAGATAGCTGAGGCTCAGGTGGTGGCCAACAACTGCACAAGGGCCATGTGGAGTGAGAAGTGGGCTTCAGGGCCTTGCCTGTGGACCAGGTGTCCCAGCCACGTGTTTGTGGGTCAGCCCAGACTTCCTGAAGTCTCACTCCCCTTATCTCTGGCAGTCTGCAAAATGTAGCCTTCTCTTCAAAAAGGGGAGAGCAGTGGTAGGTTTGACTAGGGCAGGACTGTCTGCTGGACAGTGTGGACTTGTGTGCATTCAGTGGCCCTGTGAGCCCCCGACTCACCCTGAGAGTTAGCTGCAATGGCATCCCACTGCCCAGGCAGAGACCCTGCGTGTCCGGAACACTGTCCTCTCCTCTCACCTTCCAGCCAGGACTCTCCTGGGCAGCAGTGCACCAGCCATCCCAACTCCAAGCGACCTGGGCCAGGAACTGCACCAAGAATGCTTGACCACAGGGTCCTGTGGTCTAAGTAGGTTCTGGGGACTCTTGTCTGAATGGGTTCTGAGGTTCCCTATCCAAACAGGGTTTTGGATTCCCTGAGTGGGTTGCAGATATCCTCCCCCCCCCTTTTTTTTTTTTTAGTTTGCAAGGAGAAACTTGTTTTTATTTTTAAAAAATTTTAATTTATTGTGAAACCGGGGTGGTGGGAATGAGTATGTCAGAGACGGTGTGGTTGGCACAGGATAGAACAGATTTTAGGGCTCTTGTACACAGGGTCACTATGAGTCGCAAGCGACTCGACAACACACAACAACAACATTAATTTTCATGAAAATTTACAGAGACTTTGGATTTCCATTCATTCATTGTTGCACTTTTCTCCCTGTCCACCCCTCCCCCCAGTTCTCTCTTCTCTTTGAAAAGTAAAGGAAAAATTCTTTCATTGTTATACAATCCCTCCCCCGGTCCACTCCACTGTTCTGGACTCCTGTCATGACAATAATTCCTAATCATAAACTGAATCCCTATGGCCCAGCCACCCACTCCAAGTGTCCCCGAGACCCAGGGCTTAGGACACAGGCATCAAAACAAAAACCCACGCTGGCTGAGAGACAGAGACAGCCCAGGTGCTGCCTGTCAAGCGAGAAACCCAAACATGAATGACAGTCCATCCCTAACCCGGAACGCAGCTCGGCCTCAGGAGAGGCAGGGTGGACACAGCACAGCACGGACGAAGCTTAGCACGTGAGACATGGACCGCTGAACTGACCCAGCCAGTGGGGCAGGCCTCCCGCCAGAGTTCAGGCCCGTGCTGCCCAGTGCGGGGGCAGGGTGCTGGGCACGGGGCTCCCGGGGGGTGGTGGCAGCCCTGGGTCTGGGTGTTTTATATCTGAACACTGTAAACGCCTGGACACACGGCTGCACCGTTCCCACAGCGGCAGATTCGGCCGCAGCACTCTCCCTGCTCCCTGCTTGACTGTTCTTGGGGGCGTAAGAAGTATAAGAAGTTCAGCAGCTTCCAGGCGTGCCTGTCACCAACACCTGCGGGCCCTGCTGAAGGACCCTCCCCACCCTCCTCTGATCAAGCTTCTCAAGGACAGAAACGCAGAGCCCTGGGGTTTCGATCTTATCTCTGCAGCTGCTATCAGCCAGAGCTCAGAGACAGCTCTGGAAAGTGTGACTGGTCCAGGAGGCCAGTTTTCTTCCTTAAGATAAACTGCTGTTGCTTTGTGGCGCCTTTAAGGGAGATTTCTGGTTTAAGGTTGAAAAAGGTCTGCTTGGTAATCCTTCCTCATTAGCCCCTGTGAAAAAGGCTCCAGAAAGCCAGGTTCGAAGGATCTTACTTACAATTTAAAAATAAAAGAGAAATCACACTGCTCCGTGAGTCCTGAGTCCTTGAGTCCAAGCTGGACTTTCTGGAACTAAGGACTTGTTTTTAAAACATCTTCTTACTGTGATTTGAGTACAGGTTTACAGAGTAAATTGGTTCTCCACTCGGCCCCAGGCAGACACTTGCTTCTGGCGTGGTCTTCGTCCTAGGGGTCTTCCCCTTCGCTCTCTGCCCCTCCGTCCGGCCCCCCACAGCCTTCTAGTGCCCTCCCTGGGCAGGTGCTACCCTCGGAGCTTCAGCGAGGTGAGGGCCTCCCGCTGTCACAGTCACTCTGTGTGTCTGTCTGTCCTCTGTTTGGCGGAAAGCGAGTCCCAGGTGCAGCTGTGGTCTTTGTGGGCTCTGACACTGACAATGTCCCCCTGAACTGGCCCCCCAAGCCTAGGCCTGTGGTTACAACCCCATTTGGGAAAGGGCCACCTTTGGTATTCTGAGGATTCACAGTCACTGCGGTGCGTGTTCTATCTTTTTTGATATAAAGGAGATTACTGAAGGGAGCAGAGTGAGAGCCACGGCAGGAGGCCACCCCTCAACCTCCAGCAGGGCAGAGGCCTTAGGAGCTGGGGGGGAGGTCACCCCAGAGGGACAGCAGCACCAGGTAACAGATGGCCTGGCTTTGTGTCATTTGTGCCGATGGCAGCACCAGATAATGGTGCCTCACCCATGGGTCCTCTCTTGATAGCAGCACCAGGTAAGAGGTTACCTCGCCTGTGGGTCATCTCTCCCAGGAAACAGAACTGATCACCTGGCCCATGGGTCAATTCTCCTGATAGCAACTCCAGATCACAGAGTAATGAAGCACCTGGACCCTGATGGCAGTACCAGATACTTCAGCGCCTCGCCCATGGCCCCACCCGAGACCTCCTCGGGCTTGGGTTTTCCAGGCCCTGAGGAAGGT